TTAAGATCTTCTTCACTCTCATGATGTATTCACTACTAACCTTCTTCTTGACTTTAGTGTGTTTGATGTTGTCAGCTTGAAGGATGACCAGGTATTTGTAGTGATTTTCTTCATCCAGACTCTTGATGTTATTTCCATAAGACATCTTGATTCCTTCAGTTTTCACTATTTTTCCCCTGCTGATTGTAAGGATGGCACAGCCTTGTAGAGCCTTGCAGTGGAGTTTGTACAGCCCAACTCCACTGCAATAACTTGGCTGTATATTTGGACAGCACTGTGCAGCAACTACTACTTCTTCTTCTTCTTCTTCTTCTTCTTCTTCTTCTTCTTCTTCTTCTTCTTCTTCTTCTTCTTCTTCTTGTCAACTCAAGGCAGTGAACATACCTGATACTCCTGCCCATCTATTCCCCCCCCCCCACACCAACCCTGTGAGGTTGGTTGGGCTGAGAGAGAGTGACTGGCCCAAAATCACTCAGCTGGCTTTCATGCCTAAGGCAGGCCTAGAACTCAGAGTCTCTTAGCACCTTAACCAGTATACCAAACTGGCTTTCTATTCATATTATCTATTAACAGATAAAATATCATGCAAAACTTGAAAAATGGCATAGAAGTATAATAGATCAAAAGTTCTATTTTATAAACAGAATACAATCTATTTCACTAGTTATAAACTTCACTGATTCCTAAAAGATATTTCAGATTTCCTCCAGCAATGTATCTATCCTAGATGGGTGACAACACATATACTGCCTTTTCAGTAGCGGTGTGCTATCTGTGAAATATTTATCCAGATAAACCTATTTATTATAGATCACTCATAAGTTATTTTTTAAATAGTTCCATTGTTTTTTTTTCCAACTCTCCAAATCATGTAGGTGGTGCTTCAGAACTACTGTTACTAATTTTTAAAAATATTTTACTGATAGTAGATGTTACTGTCAATACTGATTTTATTTCTGAACTAATCTTTTTGCAATTTTTTTACATAGATAAATAAAAATTAGCAAACTATTTTAAAAACTGTACCACAGAGCTAGAAGGCATTTTACATCTTTTATGCCCCAGAGGGCTGCAAAATATATTCATGCCAGGATGGCATCATGTCTTTTAATTATATTAGGTACCTTTTATTAGCTACAATCAAGTTCTAAATAAACTGAGTTGAACATTTTCCAAACTTTTACTCTGTACAATCTGTTCTGATAGAAAAACATACTTCTTGAATAAACTAATTTGACATTTGACATTTCAATGTAAGTTACTCCAAAGATGGAAGACATTTGTTTTGAGAGATGACTGAAATCCCTCAAAATCAATTTCAAGTTCTAAATGTCTAATAACCAAAATACAAAGTATGTCATATGTATGGGATAAACTGATAAGGCAGTAGGATACTACTGATAAATTCAAAAAGACAGATATTCTTTATTCAAATAACAGCATTCAAGGCAAACACACTGCACAAGCTAATATACAATACTGAAAACAGCATTTCAGAAAAAGATAATCAAATATGGTCTCTGGTGACTGTGACAAACCCCTAGTTTTTCTTTTGGCCCAGTAACACTTCCTAAAGAATCTGATAAATTTAGTTCATTAAGAACCAAACAGATGGAATTTGGCTTTCATTCCCCCCTTTTTTCAAGCCTCTGCCATGTAATCATTTATATACTACCACAGCTGTGGAAAATTATACTCCCTTTTTAATTCCACAAAAGGCTGCTAAGGTGAGTTTAAGCA